CCTCCTGCAGCCGCAGCAAGTGCAGCAGAGGGACATCTGCTCCCGCCTGTGGTAACAGCAACCCCTGGGTATGTGGCCCTGCGCGGTGCAGCTCGAAGGTGGCTTTTAGCAGGCTGAGAGCTGCGTCCTCACAGGTTCGCTCTGTAGTGGCTGTCTGCTGCTGCTGCTGTCTTGAATGCTGCTGCTGCTGCTGCTGTTGCTGCTCTGGCTGCTGCTGCTGCTGTGCCTCCTCGTGCAGCCCGGTAGAGACTTTCTGCTGGTGCTGCAGCTCTGCATCTGGCACCTGGTGCTGCAGTCCACTGCTGCAACTGTCTGCTGACAGCCCAAGTTCGTCCGCAGGCGGTCGATTCTGCTGCTGCTGCAGCGGTGGCAGCTTATGGGAAGCTGCTGTTGCTACTGCGCCTCTTCTGTACGACTCCTTCTTGCCCATATTAGTCAGTCTTCGTGCCCAGTTAATGGGCAGCCGCAGCACATCCTTGAATGAAGCCGATTTGTTTAAAACGCCCTCACGATCGCATCCCTCATTCCCGCAGCCGCAGCGGCTGCTGCTGCTGCTGCTACTGCTACTGCTGCAGTTGCTTCTGTGGCAGCAGCAGGGGCTACTGCTGCTGTCGCTGCAGCCGTTGTTGCTGCTGAAGCTCTTGCTGCTCCATGCTCTCTCGACCTGGAGTGCATCCAGCCTAGCGCAAGCTTTGCCTGCATCCGGCAAACTGCGCACATACGGTGGCAACACATTATCCGCGTTGCTGCTGCTGCCTCTGCAGAAGTTGCTGTCGCTGCTGCTGCGCTGGCAGCTGCTGCGGCGCCGGTGGCTCCAAAAAGAGCTGCTGCTCCCCACAGGCAAGCTGCGGAGGCTGCTTAGGGGAAGCCGGTGCTTGCGAGGAAAGTCATAAGATAAGGACCTTGAGCTTCGCCTAGGGTGGCCCCCGCTTTTGCCTACTGAGCGGCTGCAGCAACGGCTGCAGCCGCTGCAGCAGCTGCCCCTCTCAGGTTTCTCGCCAAGGTATTGCGTGTTGCAGTCAGGCGTCTTCTTGCTGCTGCTGGTGCTACTGCTGCCAGGCGGTGTGCGATCCGTTCCTGGTTCTACCAGGAAACAGTCTTGCGGCTGCTGCCACTCTTGTTGCTGCGGCGGCTGCTGTTGCAGTTGCTTTTGCTGCTGTTCCTGCCGCTCACGCTGCTGCTGCTGCTGCTGCACGTGCTGCTGCCTAACAAAGATTTCGTGAGCCAGTTGCGCACCCCTCCAGGCGAGAAGCGCGGCGTCAGCTGAAGTGCCGTGTCTGTCTAAGGCAAGGCATCTTTCGTCCAGCAGCATTTGCCGCAGCCTTTGCTGCTGCTGCTGTTGCTCCTGCAGCAGCTGCTGCCGTGACCCTCTTCGAAGGTACAGTCGCAGCTGCAGCAAAGAAGCACCGCGGCAGAGCAACCAGAGAAAACAATTAGCTGCAGCAAACAGCTGCAAACCGGTAAAGAAAGCAGCGTTAAGATGCTCCACACCCTGCACAGCAGCAGCAGCAGCAGCAGCGAGAGCCGCTGCCGGCCCAGCGCCGGCAGCTCCCACAGCAGCAGCGGCAAGCCCACAGCAGCGGGGGAAGACAGCGTCACAGAGGCAGACATACAAAAGCAAGTGGGCAACAGAAAAGGTCTGAATGTCTGGCAACTTGCCTTACGCAGCACCTCAGAGAACGCGGGGCTGGCTTTAGCAGCAGCAGAAGCAGCAGTCAGTTTGCTGCCCCTGTCTTCACTCGTGTGCAGGATATCAAATGTGGCTGGGAGCGGCCCGCTGCACCCATGCAGCTGCCCGCTGTTGCAGTGTGCGCTCTCTGGTTTTGCTGTTGTTGCTGCTGCTACTGCGGTTTCTGCTGGTGCAGCTAGCGCAGGAGCTGTTTCAGCCTCGCTCGCTCGAGGCTTCCGTAGGCTCCACTGCCGCAGCAGCAAACGGTGGAGCTGCTTTTTTCGCTGCTTGTTCTGAGCCTTGGACTGTTGCTGCTGCGGCTGCTGCAGCTCTTCGCTGCCATCTGAGCTGCTGCAGGTGTCAAAAAAGAGCTCAAATGGCTCAACAACTGCGTTCTGCTGCTGCCACGAGGCTGCTGAAGACGAGAAGATCCTGACTTCCCCTGATCCCGATATGCTCACTACCCTGTGGTGTGCATGCAAAGTAAACCAGCTCCTGCTGCTGCTGCTGCTGCTGCTGCTGCTGGCCCACAGCGTCATTTGGCGGCTCGCCTTGTGAAAGCTCGAGACTGCCTGTCGTCTCAACTGTGTCTCTTTCTTTCTGCGCCTTTTCACGCATTTCTTCTTGATGAGCTGCAGCAAAGTGACCACCTGTTTATTGCTGGTGCGGCTGCTGCCGCTGCCGCTGCTCTGCTGCTGCTGCCACTGTCTAATCTCAAAATTCAGCTCCCAGTGCAGCCGCCGCAGCCAAAGCTCTCCCTCTAGGGGTAAGTGGGGCCCCTCTAAAATGCCCGTGAGCAAACACTCAGGCGGCCCCTTTCCACTTCTCTCTGCCCCCGCGTTCCCGCTGCTGCTGCTGCTGCTGTTGCTTCTCCACCACCGTAGCGCTGCTGGTGCCAGCTTCTGCGTCAGCTTCCTGCTGCAGCTTTGCTGCTGTCGCCTTAGCAGCTCCAACTTCGTCTTTTGATGCTGCAGCTGCCTCAACAGCAGCAATTGTCTTTTTGCGCGAGTGGACTCAGCCGTCCTTTCCTCTAATACCTGTTGCAGAAGCAGCGTATCGACCACGTCTGTTTGCTGCTGCCGATGCTGCCGCTGCTGCTGTTGGGATCGCTGTGTTACCTGTCGCTGTGCTGCTGTTGACACAGCATGGTTTGCTTCCCACAGCCGCCGCAGCAGCAGCAGTTCCTCTTGGAATGACAGCGGCCGCTGCAGCGATGGAAGCTGCTGCTGTTGCTGCGGGGCCGCAGCAAGCGAACGCGCACGCAGGGACAGCAGGCCCTCAGCAGCTTCTTTTCTAAGAGGCAGGAAAGACGCCACGCTCCAGCTACACCGCTGGCGAAGCATCTGGTGTTGCTGCCGTTGCTGCTGCTGGCTTTGCTGCTGGGCTGTTTGCAGCCGCAGCAACAAGCGACTCTGCAGACAGACTTGAGAGGACTCACGAAGAGGCCGTCCAAGCGCGTTTAGGCTGCGTTGTTTTTGCTGAAGATGCTGCTCACTATTCTGGGGCCTTAACGAGCTGCGGGACGCAAGTTGGGGCCTTTGGCGTTCTCTGCTGCGCAGTCTTGCCGCAGCAGCAGCAGAAGTAACAGCAGCAGCAACTCTCGCAGCCCCAGTGGACGCTGCTGCTTGGCCCCGCACCCCTGCGGCATATCTGCCGCTGCGGCTTGCGTCCTTGCATTTGCTGCTGCTGCTGCTGCTGCAGGCGCGTGCTGCTCTTGTAAACGTCCACGAAGGAGGAGCTGGGGACTCCTTCTGCAATGCTTTATTTCCCGAGTCTTCTGGTGTACTTAAGAGGCAAAAAACTCCTTTATGCTGGCAATTATCTTCTCTGATGGGGCCCTCTGCTACTGGCCTTATGGGGGAGGGGCCCGGAGGTGACCCTGAGGATACAGCGCGGCGTTGGCTGTGCTGCGGCTCTCGCTGCAGCGGTTGCTGCCGCTGCTGCTTGGCCTGCGGAAGCTGCAGCAGGCACCCTTGCGGCAGCTGTGGCTGCTTCCGGGGAGGCAGCACGGCTGCTGGATGGGCTTGGCCTTCGGCTTGCTGCTGCTGCTGCTGTTGCTTGAGTGGCGGTGCTGCGTGCGTGGGTGCTGTTGATTTCAGCCTCTCTTGCTCGCGCACTTGCTGCTTATATTCTTCCTGTCTTAATGCAGCAGAAAATAGCAGCTGTTTGTGCTGCTGCTCCATGAGGAACGAGCTGCCGCTGCGCCTCTGTCTCGATGAGGTGAGTCAAGCGGTGGCTTGCGCGGCCAGTGAGCTGCTGCTGCTGCTGTTGCTCAGTGCAGCAAAAACGCAGCACTCTAAAGCACGCTGAATGTAAGTGCTGTCTGCGGGCTGGAGGCACCAGCACAAGTAGCATCTAGTGCAGCCGCCTTGCAGCTAGGCTGCGTGTCTCTCTCGGGGTTCCAGCTGCTGCTGCAGCGGTTTTCACGTGCAAGGCACTTCTCCTTTGAGTCATTAAAAACCTAATTTGCAGAACAGAGAACTGGGGGCCTCACAAAAACGGAAGAACTCGGGATAAAAGGGGAATCCCGGCAGTCCCTCTGTGCGCCTGACCCCCCTTGTTGAGCAGCAGCTGCAGCTAAGGGAGCAGCAGCAGGTGTAGCAGGTGTCATAGACCATAAACAGACCATTTGAGCTAACATTCATTAGCTAGAGGGAAGAGGAGAATTTCGGTTAGGGAGGAAACTCTAAGGCTTTGCCTTAGCCCCCAACGGTCACTGATCGTTCCCATGCAGCCTCGACTCCGAGCTGCTGCTGCTGCAGCTGCTGCTCGTCTTCCTGCTGCTGGGAAACTGTATAGTCGGCGCCAAATAAGTAGTTGAGAAAGGAAATTTAAACATCTAATGCATACTTTTGGGCATCTACGTCTCCTTTTACGTTTCGTCGCCTACCCCCAAAAGCAGCAGCAGTTGCTGCTGCTGCTGTGCTGCTGCTGCTGCTGCCGCTGCTGCTGCTGCTGCTGCTCTGGCGTCAGCAGCAGCTGCCTCCGCCCGAGCGGCTCTGCAATTCAGCGCAGGCTTCTCACCTGTCCTAACACCTTCTATTCTGTCTTGCGTCTGTACCTTCTTCGTAGTTACAGCACCAGCAGCAGCGCGAACGGCAGCAGGACCCGTCTGCCGTGTCGGATCATTCTTTCTATCTTTCTATAGTCTGCACAAGGGCTGCTGCAGTTGCTGCAACTGAAGCAGCTGCAGCAGCGATTTCTGCTGTGCTGTGGCCGCAGCAACAGGAAATATCGCGGGAGTCCCGTTGCTGCTGCTGCTGCTGCAGCAGCAGCTTCCTGCCTGCCACTGGGGGGCCGGGCCGTCCCAGTCGCTGCCCTAGAAACCGGCCGCCAACCTCGTCCGTGCAGCTGCAGCATTTGCTGAAGCAGCACAGAACTTAAACCAAGCTCACACCCCTACGGCAGCACCAGCTGCTGGCCCCGGCCCACATCCTGCCTCGGCTGCTGCGGGCAAGCTGCAGCAGCAGAGACGCGGGCTGCGCCTCTTTGACTAGGCCAACTTCACACAGCGTTTTTAGAGCGTTAGCTCCTCCTCCTCCTCCGCAGCAGCCCCTGCAGAAATGGCAGTGCAGCAGCGCGCGCACTTGAAGGAGCAGCAGCGAGAACTGCAGCGGTGGCTTGACGGCTGCGACAAGGAGCTGCAGCAGCTACTGCAGGCCCGTGCGCAGCAGCAGGAGCACGCCCAGCAACAGAGTATGCAGCAGCAGCAGCAGCGCGCGACTGCAGCGGTAGCAGAGGCAATGCGCAGTTCCATTAGAGGTCAGGCAGCCGGCTGCCCCCCCAGTGTCATCTGCTGCTCCCGCTGCTGCAGACGCCGCCTACAGTCCATCAGCAGCAGCAGCAGCAGTAGCAGCAGCAGCCCGGTATTTCTTGGCCACCGTGTCCACGGCGCACTTCCACTGACGCCTACTCGCTGCGCTCTCTGTGTTTTGCTGCTGTCGCAGAGTACCGGGCTGCTGCTGACGGGGCTTCAGCAGCAGCAGCAGCAGCAGCAACAACAACGGCGACCCCGCGAGGGGCCCTGCCGCGTGCAGGCGAGGGAGCCCTTGAAGACACACTGCACAAGTTGCAGGGACTAAAGCAGCAGCTCGCCTGTAGGCTCTCGACCCCGCGCTGCAGCTTGCTGCTGCTGCTTGTTGCTGCTGCTTGCTACTGCTGCTTGCTGCTGCAGCGTCCTTGCTGCTGCTCCACCGTCCCGGCCAGCGGTTCCGTTGCTGCTGCTGCACAGTTGTAGCTGCTTGCTGCTGCTGCTGCTGCTGCTGCTGCTGCTGCTGCTTCTGCTGCTGCATGTGCTTCATTGGTGTCACTGTTCTTTTCCTGCTGTGATGGCTGCTGCAACCAGCGCTTCGCTTAATGTTTTTGCTGCTGCTGGGTGCTGCTGCAGCTGCTGCAGCGTGGGCTGTTCGGGACGGTGGCCATGCTACAGCGGATACAGGAGCAGCAGCCGCTGCAGCTGGGTCATACCCTGTTAGACAGGTATATTCCTTCGCTCCAGCAGCAGCAGCAGCCAGAAGCCCAGCAGCAGCAGCAACCACAGCAGCTTGCTGCACACTGCAGATGTGTGTCAGCTGCTCCTGCTGGTGCTGCACGTGTTCCTTCAGGCTTCGTGCAAGTTAGAGGAAGTCCAGGAGCAAGCTGTGGCCGCTGCTGCAGTCAAGCAGCAGCAGGGCAGCAGCAGCAGCATAGGGGCCGCTTTTCCCTCTACAGGGGCTGCTCCCAGAGCAGCAGCAGCCGCAGCGGTTGCTTCTGCTGCTGTGCATCCGTGGCTGGGCGGCAGCTTAATGGCGTCTCGAGACTCGGCAGACCCAAAGCTGCATGCAGTGCTGCTGCAGCACCAGCAGCAGCAAGGCGCATCGAGCTGCTGCGGCAGCGGCAGCTGCCGCCTCAGTGACAGCAGCACTTGTGCAGATGACCCCTGCAGCAACAATGGCAGGCGGCGCAGCATAGATAGTTTTTCCAGCGAGAGCAGCAGCAGCACTCCAGAGAGCGCGAGCATGTGCGGCGTGAGTTGCAGCTCCGTGCCGCAGCAGCAGCAGCTGCTGATCCAGCAGCAGCAGCAGCAGCTCCAGCTGCAGCAGCAGCAACTGGCCCGACCCGCCCGACCCTTCAATATGCTTACAGCAGCAGACCTGAGTAAAGCAGCGCCACCTGCTGCTGGCTTTTCTTGTCTCCCGAATGTCAGGAGCTCGGATGCCCGTATTCGTTTTCAGGCAGGGCGGCAGCAGCAGCAGCAGCAGCCAGGAAAGTTGCAGCAGCAGCAAACTCAGCAGCAAGAGTCGCAGGACGGAGAGCAGCGGCAGCTGCAGCAGAGTCGGGGTTCAGGCAGTAGTGGCAGCAGCACAGGAGGGCTTTACGATCGGTTTGCTGCAGCGAACTTGCACAAAACGGCAGCCACAGCTGCCCCGAAATTAGCTGCATGCAGCGCCGATGTTCAGCAGCAGCAGCAGCAGCAACAGCAGCAGGAAGCCCCTCACCAGCCGTTGGTCTCTCGCTGCAGTACTGCCACATCTTCGCCCTGCAACGCGTCTAGGAGGACAGCAGCAGCTGCAGCAGCTGCTGCTTCTGCAACTATAGACAGCGGCCCCGAAGCAGAGGGGCGGCATCTCGGGCACGTGCCGCTGGGGCTGAGCAGCGGCAGCAGCAGCGGCAGCAGCAGCACAGGGAGTGATGCCACAATTCATCACGAGAGGGGGTTTGAAAGGGATAGACAGGCCTATGGCGGCCGGTTTGTTGCGGCTACGTTCATGCAGCAGCAACAACTGCAGCAGCCGCAGCAGTCGCCGGCTTATTGTGGAGCAGAGGGGGCAGCGTCACCCAACTCAGCAGCAGCAGCAGCAGCAGCGTCAGCATTGGCAACAACGCCCAGAGAAGCAGCAACACTGGATGCAAGCGGCAGGACCCGCCGCATGTTCTCATCGGGCAGCAGCCACGACGGCAGCAAAAACAGCAGCAACAGCAGCAACAGCAACTGGGTTCCGCCTGGCTGCCCTCCTATTGGCCCATCAACAGGCAGCGGCGACAGCAGCAGGAGCAGCAGCAGCAGCTTTCAAGGCTCAAGCAGGACTCACAGCTTGAGCCAGACGGCGGGCAATAGCAGCAGCAGCAGCAGCAGCAACTCGTCTGCACCCCTATTGCGCTTCAGCGGAGAGGCTTTTTCCGCTGGGCCAAGAGCAGCGGCAGCAGCGGAGGAAGCAAGAAGTGATTACTTTGTTTCTCCTGCTGGAGGTGCAGCAACGGGGAGTGTAGCAGCAGCAACAGCAGCAGCACCAGGGCTCCGGGCTTCCTCCCGCATGCCAGGGTCCTTCAACCCGAGAGAAACGCCTGTGTCCAACTGGCCGCCCTTCCCCGCTGCTCAGCCGCAGCAGCACTTGCTGCAGCAGCAGCAGTTGCAACACCCGTATTTCCACCACGCGCAGCATCAGCAGCAGCAGCAGCAGCACCAGCAGCAGCCGAGCTGTGAAGCGCTAGCTCCTTCGGGGCCAGCGGGGCCCACGAGCTCAGTCCCGGAGTACCTTCGTGGCCAGCAGCTGCGTGAGGCTTTCCTGCCCGGAGGAGCAGCAGCAGCAGCAGCAACACAGACGGCGGCAGCAGCTGGCACAACGCCGCCCTCAGGAACAAGGACCTCACCTGCAGCGGGAGCAGTAGCCGCAGCAGCACGAGCTGCAGCAAGAGGACCTGCTGCATGCAGCCCCAAGGGAAATGAAGACAGCGGAGATAGCCTCACAGGCGGAGGCGCCTTGGGCCTGCCGGACATTGCTTCGTGTATATTGGGGGGAAGCCATCAACAGCTGGCAGCCTTGTCACTGCAGCAGCAGCAGCAGCAGCGCCAGGAGCAGCAGCAAAACTACTTGCACTTCGTGCAGCAGCAGCAGCATGAAGGCGAGCGGCCTTGGGTCATGCACCAAAGGAGCAGCGGCGGCACTGCTGATAACAGCCGCAGCAGCAGCAGCAGTGCGAATCTCTCTCAGACGCTGCGCAGCTCGTGCGCCCCATGGTATCCTCCAGCTCGGCAAATGGCGCCGGTAGGAAGTGAGGCAGCAGCAGCAGCAGCTGCTGCTGCTTCTGGCATGATGGGCGGCCTTGTCGGTGCTTCGGCTTTATCTGTTGCAGCAGAATCATCAGGGCTGCAGCAACAGCACCAGAGAGAGTACTTTCCGGATGCCTCTCAATATGAAGCGGG